ATGAGTATAAAAGCGTTTTAAAACAACAAAAGAAGAACGAGACGTCTTCCTGCACCATCGGTGGGTGTTGTGACCCAAGGTGTCTGGTTGTCCTTACCGAACCAGCCTCGGATGCGGCATTGACGTATACGAATGTACATATCGAAAAACCATTAGCAGTATGTGCGATAAGTAATCATAGGCTGTAACTGAGAATGCATATTAACCAGACGATGTTTTTGATTCTTGTTAAAAAAAAAACAACGAGGCGTCACACAATATGAAAGGTGTAACGTGTGGTTCGTCCAACGCCCCAACTCATGACTAAAGCTTGTTTTTATCACCTATAATTGTGGCACATGCCCGCTTCAGCCATAATTCCTCTTTGTTGTCAGCCACTCGATGAACAATTGTCACAAAATTCCTTCAAAGTGTTTACCAGATACAACGCTTCTCAGAAGAATGACGAAAAATTGCATAGCGAACGCGGGTCTACTCCCGGAAGTTATAATAATAATAATGCCGTAGTAGGTAGCAAGTGTGCTCGCTGCGGTTACGCAATGATTGTTTAGAAAAGGCTCTGAAAGGCCCCTCTTCTAGCTTTCGGTGTGACGGTCCTGCGCCTTCTGTGCAGGCCTGGCGTTTTGTATTCAGCAGAATGTCAAGAAGTTGCGCTAAAGATATGCGCAAGGGGACGCACAGACAAACGTAAAGAGACACGCATGTTTTATATCACCAGTTGTTCACAGTTACGTAACGATGCCAACAGACACATGAATATTGACAACGCCAGAGGCGTTAGGCTGATATAAGCGCGGCTGGTCGCGAAGATAGTTGTCCTGGCCACTGCTACATAAATAAACTTAAGCGAATGCCACCTGACTACAATTGATGTTAACCCGACGTGACGGCTGTATTATAGGAGTACATATTTAGTGTTTATGAAGTTGTGAAAGCAACAGTGCAACCAAAATGGTCGGTTCACAAACATTAGGATCTATTCAAAAGGCATTTCCGAGAGCTGGCGTGGCTTGGTAGTTACATACTTGATTGGCACGCAGAATGCTAGGGTCTGATTCCTGCTGGCACAATAACGTTTATCTTTTGCATTCTCCTGGCCAATGCTGCTGGTATCCACTTTTGTTAATTAGTGGACAAATTTATTTAAAATCAAGCCTGTTGCACATACACACCCCCGGATATGTGACACTGTTTTTTTGAAAAGTGTTTGATGACGTGCTTGACGGGATCGTGATATTATTCAAGTCATGAAAGCGAATCGTAGTCGTCAACTAACTTTACCCTCTCACACTAATGTTACTTAAAGGGTTTTGGGTGATCTTGAGAGCTCAATAAACAATTGTATCGGGCCAGTTGGTAAGGATCTATCTTGCTAGGAAGCGCAGCCACGTTAACACAGCTTGTGTTGTGTGTTCTGTGTTATAGCGGCGGCGCTTCATAGCAAGCTTGAGAGCACCGAGACGCAGGCGGATAGATTGATAGATAGATTGATAGATAGATAGATAAATAGATAGATAGATAGATAAATAGATAGATAGATAGATAGATAGATAGATAGATAGATAGATAGATAGATAGATAGATAGATAGATAGATAGATAGATAGATAGATAGATAGATAGATAGATAGATAGGCCTTCTGGAACGCACTGAGGGTGCCTTACCAACATGTCGAATATTTCACACCATCTAAGTGATCTCGCATAATGAAAATTTCGTTATATGGATCTTCAAGTATGACGAAATTGTTCGGGGATAAAGTGACATTTGTCATTGTCGTTTTTATAAATCCGTGTAACCAATCCAGCATTTCCTTCCTCGCCAGGTATTCACTACAGTACACGCAGACGGTCTTTGCCAGTGGCCGATGCTCTGTGACTGTCTGGGCTGCCATGACCAGGGAAGCACTTGGACCACTGGTTCTTATCGATGGGAACCTTTCAGCCTCCACGTACTCCCTTATAACAGAGAGAGAATTGCTTGCTTGTGTCTTAAATGAGCCGTTCAAGGATGGTTGTTTCGTGTACCAGCATGACAGGAGCCCGATTCACACTGCTCGCAGTGTGAAATTTTTGCTTGAGGGCCTTGCTGTTCGCACTTTGGAATGGCCACCTGTAGGAGCGGACCTGAACCCCATTGAAGACGTCTGGGGTCTCGTGAAACGCCGACTTGCGGCGCGGAATCTTGGAAGTTCAATGAAGGAGACCCTATTCGCGGCCATACGTGAGGAGTGGGAAGCACTTCGTTCACACTCCGAGATCGTGGCCGCGCTTTACAATTCTATGCCATCTCGTGGGGCGCAAGTGATTGCCGCCGATGGGCGTTTGAAAATACTGAGAGTAGTGATCTTTCCTGGATAGCAGTTATAGCTATTGTTTTTTTTTCATGCTTATAAGAATAAAATGTTTATTTATCGCGTTTCCTGGCTATTCATTCTGGACGCGCAATATTCAGTGGTTTACTGCATACCACTGCACGTGCGCTATTCGCACCAAGAAATGTAGCTGGCATAACGTATCCGAGACAGAGCACAAAATTCATCACTGCAAGATGAGCATATCACGCAACTCCGTTTGAGAAAAGCTGAGAAACTGCATGTTTTCCGTGCTGCATAAAAGAAGAAAGCGTACTGCACGGCGCGCTCGAGCCATGCTATTAGTACATTAGAGGCATTTTCGCCGCTATATTATCGCTTGGGAGTACCGGTGCTTGCACAACTACTGCAGAAGTGGCACCTTGCGCCGTCCGCATCGTTTCGAGATGCGGACGGCGCAAGGTGCCACTTCTGCAGTAGTTGTGCAAGTTTCGAGATGCGCGCCGTTGAAACGAGTGAAAGGGCAGGCTGCCGGGTGATATGGGACGAGCGTGCGCAGTACGCGCTCCCGCACAGAGCAGTGAAGCCGCCAGAAGGCGCAGTGATGCACCTCGGCACGCGCTTCCGTGGTCCCTAAAATTATGCACTCGATTGTACATCGCTATGCTTGCTCTTTTTAGCTACTGCTTTCTGTATCTTTCAATCTGTTTCTGTCTTTCTTCTCGATCTATTTCTCTCGTTCTTTTACTTGCTATCGTTAATTCTCACTCTATGTACTTATTGTTCCATCTGCCTTCCCGTTCTCAAGGACCTCTTATTTCCCTTTTTCTCTATCTGGCTTCCTTTTGTTTTCTTTCTTTTTGCTCCTTTGTTTCTCTGTATCTCTAAGCAGTTGATTTTAGCCTTCTATGGTATTATCTCCTCAATATGTTATTTATTTCGCCATCTTCATAGTCAGTCCCTCGCCTTCTGTTTTTTTTTTTTCCCTATGCTTACGTCTTGCTTGTATAATCCTCGTCTATCATTCTATTTCACTGTCGTTATATCCATTTCGGTCTTCGTTCCGTTTTTTCTCTATTTTCTCTCCTTTTTTGTGTCTTTGTTTCTCTATCTCTTCATTTAGTCATATTCTCACCATCCAGTTGTTCTGTGTTTCTTTCTGTTATTTTCATCCATGTTTAAATTTCTACTTTTTTTCTGTCTTGTGAAACTTTTGAGCTTCGTCTTCAAATGTAGCACACGATAGATTGATCGGACCCGGTTCGCATCTCACTTGCCAGGCTGATTTCACTTCTCGGTGAACACCTTGACTATGCCGCTAAAAAAGAGAACAGCTGTGCGCGTATTGAAAGCTGTTTCAAACAACTCTTGAATTGTAACTTTCGAGCCAAGCAGCAAAGTGGCCACTATGCCATAAAACTTCACTTTGGCAATTTTCAAACTACAGAGTATCTTTGTATGATTTGTGAATAAACGCTGCCAAATAAAGGAAACTGTCCTATATCACAAATACAGATAATTTCTGAAAGATGACTGGTGCAACTATTTCGATATGTGGACACGAATCTCCACGTGATACTTCACGGAGACAACACCTTTATACCAGTCAGGCCTGTGTAGCTCCCGATTGTACTTCACAAGAAAACTTTTTGAAATGTTTGGCGACGACAGTCAAATTCGGGCCGCAACCGAGAGCCTCGCAGACCACGTATACGAGAACCCTGCCGTAAAACATCATTATCGCGTTGTGGTGTCACTTTAGATGTCACGTGACACAATTATGTCATTTCATGACACCGTATCCTGGTCAACTCCAACCATTGAGGCAATGCGGAACGAGGGGAGATTCCTTCGATCATGTGGAGTCAGTGAAAAATCACGTTAAGTGCTCAATGTTTTCAAAGGGTTGCGGAGGCTACGTTGAATACGATGGCTGAGAGGGAAGAAAAAAAATGGTTTTGAACTTGCAGTTGCGGCAAGTGGATCCATGATCGACGCTGCGAGTTTTCTGCTTCTGGATAATTCTACTACGCATACGTTTGGTCGTCTACGCATCTCTGTTAAAAACAGGAGTGGTCGAATTATCCTGAAAGTGTGATGAACGTCTCTTGTTCACTCGAAAAATCAACACATAAATTCTGTACACTAATATCTGATAGAATTACATGACGAAATATAAGAAAGTTTCATTTTTCGTCCACCTTTCACAGAACATTCGCCCAATAAAGAGAAATATTGAGTCTTTATGTCGTGTTTGTCGTCTTGTGAGTAATGCGAAATCACGTCACTCGTTGATAAAACTAGACAAATTTTGTTTGGTTAACGATGATTTTGAAGCAACTACTTGGTATTCGCCATGGTCTGGCAGATGCTGGTGCTGTAAAGCGAGCCAGTAGTCATGGTAAAAGGGCAATAACAAACCCCATCAGCTCTAGTGCCGCCAAGATTATTCACGCTACTTCATCCTATACTCATAAGCCTATTCTAAACGCTACATAAGAAGAGCTCCTCAACTTCATCTTATGCTCATAAGCCTATTCTAAACGCTACCTAAGAAGACCTCCACAAAACAACTTGTTTTTCACATGAAATATTTATTGATCTTGATAGCGCGTTATATAGCACGGGCGTGTTTTTGATGTTGTGTGCAGTGTGGGGTAGTCAGTCATGAAACTGACTCCTCATTTCAGCTGAGGAATCCACGTCCAAGGCCTCCGACTCCACGACCGTATCCGCCAAAGCCGCGACCGATTCCTCCTCCGAATCCGCGGCCGATACCTCCTCCGTAGCCACCGTAGCCCCTTCCGAAGCCTCCACGTCCGAAGCCGTACTGGGCGGCTGCCATGCTGCAGACGACAGCGAGCACCAGGAGGGCGAGAAGGAAGGACTTGCTGCTCACGGCAATCTTGGTTGTGGTCGGCTGAAAAAAAAAACACCAATATTAAACATTATTATAATTACATCAACTGACCCTGAACATTCAAACACGAGCCCTAGACATTAGCATGCGTGGTAACTGACAGTGATATGGAGAAATGTGTAGTAAAATAGCCACGTTGTATTAAATACATACTGCGAAGCGTTGCTCAAGCAAAGACACACCCTCAAAAATATGTCTACGTTTGTGCGAGACCTTGCTGGTAAATTGATGCCGGAGAGAATTTCTGTGATTGAAAAAAAATAGCAGGCTCCGTTTCACGGAGGTTCGGTAAATTTATTTTTGTACCGCAACACGCAGCCGCTTCCTCCGTCAAGATGCCTGGCTAACACACAACCTGCGGATGGCACCACTCATCGCACCGCGCCAAAAAGCAATTACATATATAAGGTAACGACTCGCTACACGCGAACAAAAACCACAAAATATCGCACGACGCTCCACCGTGCACTGCAGCCGGCGAGTCCAAAAAATGTCAAAGTCGTTGCTTCCGGCTTTCTGGATGCTAGCGCACCAAGGGACAAAATACATGAGGTTGACGTTATTTTCTTCCCGTTAAGGTCTTCCCCGCAGTTTTATTAAGAACGCCGCACAAGAATGTAGTTATAAGTCCAGTTTCACTCATCCTTTGAGAAACAGATCACACTCGTTTGCTTCACTGGTCAGATGCGACGTTGAAATACTGATAAATTGTTCGGGGATAAAGTGACATTTGTCATTGTCGTTTTTTATAAATCCGTGTAACCAATCCAGCATTTCCTTCCTCGCCAGGTATTCACTACAGTACACGCAGACGGTCTTTGCCAGTGGCCGATGCTCTGTGACTGTCTGGGCTGCCATGACCAGGGAAGCACTTGGACCACTGGTTCTTATCGATGGGAACCTTTCAGCCTCCACGTACTCCCTTATAACAGAGAGAGAATTGCTTGCTTGTGTCTTAAATGAGCCATTCAAGGATGGTTGTTTCGTGTACCAGCATGACAGGAACTTGATTCACACTGCTCGCAGTGTGAAATTTTTGCTTGAGGGCCTTGCTGTTCGCACATTGGAATGGCCACCTGTAGGAGCGGACCTGAACCCCACTGAAGACGTCTGGGGTCTCGTGAAACGCCGACTTGCGGTGCGGAATCTTGGAAGTTCAACGAAGGAGACCCTATTCGCGGCCATACATGAGGAGTGGGAAGCACTTCGTTCACACTCCGAGATCGTGGCCGCGCTTTACGATTCTATGCCATCTCGTGGGGCGCAAGTGATTGCCGCCGATGGGCGTTTGAAAATACTAAAAGTAGTGATCTTTCCTGGATAGCAGTTATAGCTATTGTTTTTTTTTCTGGCTTATAAGAATAAACTGTTTATTTATCGCATTTCCTGGCTATTCATTCTGGACGCGCGATATTCAGTGGTTTACTGCATACCACTGCACGTGCACTATTCGCACCAAGAAATGTAGCTGCATAACGTCTCCGAGACAGAGCACAAAATTCCATCACTGTAAGATGAGCATATCACGCAACTCCGTTTGAGAAAAGCTGAGAAACTGCATGTTTTTCGTGCGGCATCAAGGAAGAAAGCGTACTGCACGGCGCGCTCGAGCCATGCTATTAGTACGTTAGAGGCATTTTCACCGCTATATTATCGCTTGGGAGTACCGGTGCTTGCACAACGACTGCAGAAGTGACACTTTGCGCCGTCCGCATCGTTTCGAGATGCGTGCCGTTGAAACGAGTGAAAGGGCAGGCTGCCGGGTGATGTGGGACGAGCGTGCGCAGTACGCGCTCCCGCACAGAGCAGTGGAGCCACCAGAAGGCGCAGCGACGCGCCTCGGCACGCGCTCCCGTGGTCCCTAAAATTATGCACTCGATTGTACATCGCTATGCTTGCTCTTTTTAGCTACTGCTTTCTGTATCTTTCAATCTGTTTCTGTCTGTCTTCTCGATCTATTTCTCTCGTTCTTTTACTTGCTATCGTTAATTCTCACTCTAAGTACTTATTGTTCCATCTTCCTTCCCGTGCTCAAGGACCTCTCATTTCCCTTTTTCTCTGTCTGGCTTCCTTTTGTTCTCTTTCCTTTTGCTCCTTTGTTTCTCTGTATCTCTAAGCAGTTGATTTTAGCCTTCTATGGTATTATCTCCTCAATTTGTTATTTATTTCGCCATCTTCGTAGTCAATCTGTCGCCTTCTGTTTTTTTCCCCTATGCTTACGTCTTGCTTGTATAATCCTCGTCTATCATTCTATTTCACTGTCGTTATATCCATTTCGGTCTTCGTTCCCTTTTTCTCTATTTTCTCTCCTTTTTTGTGTCTTTGTTTCTCTATCTCTTCATATAGTCATATTCTCACCATCCACTTGTTCTGTGTTTCTTTCTGTTATTTTCATCCATGTCTAAATTTCTACTTTTTTTCTGTCTTGTGGAACTTTTGAGCTTCGTCTTCAAATGTAGAACGCGATAGATTGATCGGACCCGGTTCGCATCTCACTTGCCAGTCTGATTTCACTTCTCGGTGAACACCTTGGCTATGCCGCTAAAAAAGAGAACACCTGTGCGCGTATTGAAAGCTGTTTCAAACAATTCCTGGATTGTAACTTTCGAGCCAAGCAGCAAAGTGGCCACTATGCCATAAGACTTCACTTTGGCAATTTTCAAACTACAGACTATCTTCGTATAATTTGTGAATAAACGCTGCCAAATAAAGAAAACTGTCCTATATCACAAATACAGATAATTTCTGAAAGATGACTGGCGCAACTATTTCGATATGTGGACACCAATCTCCACGTGATACTTCATGGAGACAACACCTTTATACCCGTCAGGCCTGTGTAGCTCCCGATTGTACTTCACAAGAAAGCTTTTTGAAATGTTTAGCCACGACAGTCAAATTCGGGCCGCTACCGAGAGCCTCGCAGACCACGTGTACGAGAACCCTGCCGTAAAACATCATTATCGCAATGTGGTGTCACTTTAGATGTCACGTGACACAATTATGTCATTTCATGACACCGTATCCTGGTCAACTCCAACCATTGAGGCAATGCGGAACGAGGGGAGATTCCTTCGATCATGTGGAGTCAGTGAGAGAGAGAGAACACAACTTTATTGTCGTCAGACTTAAGGAGGTAGGTGACCCGCCAGGCTGAACCTGATGGCCACCTCCTCTGCCCTTTGTACGGCCTGGAGCTGAACGGCCAGGCTGGTGGAGGTCAGAACTGCCTCCCACCCCTCTGGCGAGGGAGCGGCTAGGAGATCGAGAGAGGGGGGATCTTCCCTGCAGGCCCAGAGAATGTGATTAAGTGTGGCTATTGAGCCACAATGCGAGCAATGCGGATCAATCGAGTCGGGGTATATACGTGCATAAATGTATGGGCACGGAAATGAATGTGTTTGCAAGCGGCGCCAGATAACCTCCTGGCGCTTAGTTAGCTTATGGTGCGGGGGTGGTTTTGTCTGCCTCGAAAGACGGTAAAAAAGACAGTGAAAAATCACGTTAAGTGCTCAATGTTTTCAAAGGATTGCGGAGGCTACGTTGAATACGATGGCTGAGAGGGGAGAAAAAAAATGGTTTTGAACTTGCAGTTGCGGCAAGTGGATCTATGATCGACGCTGCGAGTTTTCTGCTTCTGGATAATTCAACCACGCATACGTTTGGTCGTCTACGCATCTCTGTTAAAAACAGGAGTGGTCGAATTATCCTGAAAGTGCGATGAACGTCTCTTGTTCACTCGAAAATTCAACACATCAATTCTGTACACTAATATCTGATCGAATTACATGACAAAATATAAGAAGGTTTCATTTTTTTCCTCCTTTCACAGAACATTCGCCCAATAAAGAGAAATATTGAGTCGTTATGTCGTGTTTGTCGTCTTGTGAGTAATGCGAAATCACGTCACTCGTTTATAAAACTAGACAAATTTTATTTAGTTAACAATGATTTTGAAGCAACTACTTGGTATTTGCCATGGTCTAGCAGATGCTGGTGCTGTAAAGCGAGCCAGTAGTCATGGTAAAAGGGCAATAACAAACCCCATCAGCTCTAGTGCCACCAAGATTATTCACGCTACTTCATCTTATACTCATAAGCCTATTCTAAACTCTACATAAGAAGAACTCCACAGCTTCATCTTATGCTCAAAAGCCTATTCTAAACGCTACCTAAGAAGACCTCCACAAAACAACTTGTTTTTCACATAAAATGTTTATTGATCTAGATAGCACGTTATATAGCACGGGCGCGTTTTTGATGTTGTTTGCAGTGTGGGGTAGTGAGCCATGAAACTGACTCATCATTTCAGCCGAGGAATCCACGTCCAAGGCCTCCGACTCCACGACCGTATTCGCCAAAGCCGCGACCGATTCCTCCTCCGAATCCACGGCCAATGCCACCATAGCCACCGTAGCCCCTTCCGAAGCCTCCACGTCCGAAGCCGTACTGGGCGGCTGCCATGCTGCAGACGACAGCGAGCACCAGGAGGGCGAGAAGGAAGGACTGGCTGCTCACGGCAATCATGGTTGTGGTCAGCTGAAGAAAAAAAAACACCAATATTATACATTATTATAATTACATCAACTGACCCTGAACATTCACACACGAGCCCAGGACATTAGCACGCGTGGTAACTGACAGTGATATGGAGAAATGTGTAGTAAAATAGTCACGTTGTATTAAATACATACTGCGAAGCGTTGCTCAAGCAAAGACACACCCTCAAAAATATGTCTACGTTTGTGCAAGACCTTGCTGGTAAATTGATGCCGGAGAGAATTTCTGTGATTGAAAAAAAATAGCAGGCTCCGTTTCACGGAGGTTCGGTAAAATTATTTTTGTACCGAGACACTCAGCCGCTTCCTCCGTCAAGATGCCTGGCTAACACACAACCTGCGGATGGCACCACTCATCGCACCGCGCCAAAAAGCAATTACATATATAAGGTAACGAGTCGCTACACGCGAACAAAAACCACAAAATATCGCACGACGCTCCAACACTGCAGCCGGCGAGTCCAAAAATGTCAAAGTCGTTGCTTCCGGCTTTCTGGATGCTAGCGCACCAAGGGACAAAATACATGAGGTTGAAGTTATTTTCTTCCCGTTAAGGTCTTCCCCGCAGTTTTATTAAAAACGCCGCACAAGAATGTAGTTATAAGTCCAGTTCCACTCATCTTTTGAGAAACTGATCACACTCGTTTGCTTCACGGTCAGATGCGACGTTGAAATACGGATACTTTTTACAGAGCAGAAATATTCAACAGGGTAAATATTTTAACTTACGTCATAGTTAGTTGTTCATTTTTGGAATGCGAATAATGTATAATCATATGATGTTTTCAAAGTGCAGCTCTTTGGAGCTTGTCCCTACGTTGAGTGACTCTGCATTACCCGCAGAGCGAACGTCGACAAAGGGAGAACGTAAAGCGCAGAAGATTTCAAAACGCCGCGATAGCGAGGAGACTTCGAGGACGAGACAACGACACTGTTGAGACGACATGATCTGTGGCACCAATGTAGTGTGTGCCGTCCTACATCGGTTGTTGTGGAACACGACCACACGCTGCCCTCCGTGTTCTGCTGGTTAGCGCAGCAGTTGCGCTACGCTCCATCTTCACTGGTTGATGTGAAATGAGCTGCGTGAAACTTTCCGTCCAGTCTTGCTACTCAACGGTGTTCTCTTTCTAATGCAAGCTGTGTACCTATACACAAAGTAGTCTCAGCCAGTGCCCCGCCGCGGTAGTCTGGTGGCTAAGGTACTCGGCTGCTCACCCGCAGGTCACGGGATCGAGTCCCGGCTGCGGCAGCTGCATTCCCGATGGAGGCGGAAGTGTTGTAGGACCGTGTGCTTAGATTTGGGTGCACGTTAAAGAACCCCAGGTGGTCTAAATTTCCGGAGCGCTCCACTACGGTGTTACTTATAATCATATGGTGGTTTTGGGACGTGTAACTCTACAAATCAATCAATCAATCAGTTTCACCGACTTCTTTCTGGACATTGAGTTACGTAAGTGGCAGAAGTGCATCATCTGTCGCTACTGCTAAACTATGTGCCCGAGCAGAGGCTCAACGCCGGGATTGAGAGGTTCGGGCCACTGATGCAGAAATGTTTGCCGCAACTTATCGCAAAATCATAACACCTGATCTGGCATGCTCAGAATTCTCATTATCTTAATCATCAGAGATTTTTTCCTGTACCACTTTTCATACAGAACGCTAGTACGAAAGAAACCATATTCAGAGCACAGTGAACCTGCGTGCAGTGAACATCGTAATCTTCGTAATCTTCAAGCGATTGTTCGTTACGAAGCAGAAAAGCATAATCTGAGATCGACTGTTTTCAGAAACATTTCCTTAACGATATTAGGCGAATTTCGGAAGGCCCCCACGTGACCAACAACTTGTTGCCAGCGATATATTCGAGTACCCTGCTGCTTGCAACGCAGTAAACCAGCACAATCTTTGGAAATACGACCGAGCTGGCTGCAAAACTAGCTGGGAAATTCGGCATGGACTGGTCACTTCTGGGTTTTTCAATCCCAACCACATGTAGAAACGCAGAAAGCTTAAATTGAGCCTAAATGCGCTTCAATATACCACCTTTATAGGGTCAAAAGAAGAAATATTGACAGCAGCGTTTTGTTAAACGGGCACCCTTACACCAACCTTTTGTAGCAATGAAAAGCTACCAGTGAAATAAACTACCTAAGAAAATGTATATTGCACAGACGAAAAGAGAATTTTAAAGGGAACTCATTCAAGCAAAGTTTATTATATATCAGAAGGCATATGTGTTACGAGGCACATGGTGTGTTTGCTGCGGTCAGTTGACAATTTTTAGGCTTTGCTTTTCACACGTTGAGAAAAGTATTCTAAACTGTATACCACATTGCAGGTTCTTTAGGTAGTCATTTTCGGTTTCCCGCCTTTTAAAAGGAACTCTAGTAGTTAATTTCAATCGTGTGAGTGTCTCTCACCTCGGTCACCTGTTTATCGAGCTTAAGGGGCGAAATTATTTATTACCGACTCGTCCGTTCATCAAATATTATTGTTGGTATTTCATGATGAGAGTTTTCCTATTCCTTGATGGTTTTAATCCCGTTACCAGACCTTGTGGTGTACACCATGGAAGGCTATAGGCAAGAGCCCAAACGCACAAAATTCTACTAGGAAAAGACTTTTCTGTAAGAGAATCTTAGCAGCGTAGGTGCATTGATTATGCGAAAAATTACGTCCTAAGAGGCTACACATGGCGTAAAAAGCTAAGTATCTGTCGTGATAACGCGAGCTCTAATTCTACACTGACTATTCCGCGACGGTTATAGAGATGCTATAACTCCAGCGTAACCTGAAAAATTCCCCACGCAATATTTTCAGGACGCTAAAATCTTCAAAAAGACAGTGTGCTGGCTATGATTTCTAAATCTTTCGGACCACTCTTACAAGAACAAAAAGGTAAGTAATAAACGGTTATTGCCAATGCCACTTCGGTTGAGTTTAACGAAGGTGTTTTGACGCTCCGCTAAGCCCTTTGTCTCACGTACAAGTGGTAATGGTGGCACCAGAGTCATAGTTTGATAAGGTTGAAGTTCCGTGCTGGACATTGCGCTGTAACTGTAACTTCGCAAGCAGTCCTTTACTCTTAGTTTCATTTAATTCCACGCAATTACACCTGGTAGCAGTCGCGTATCATCAGTGTCAAGCTTTCCCCGGAGAGTACGCGACCCCTGCCAGCTTTAAAGGGCGTCCTATATAAGAACAGATGCCTTACAATACAATACCGGGACTGGAGGAACGCCTATGATGACAAAACAAAAGTTTCGCACGTTAACAGTGTACTTACCACAATTTCAGCTAGACTTTTGCTTCAGAGCTTCTTTTGTAGTTGATCTAACTTTAAAACAACACTAATTGATACCTGACGAAGTTATAGTTACGCAGGGCTTCGTATATAATCAGTTAGGATCTCTATTGCGCAGTTTTCTGATAATGTTGTTTGCATAAAATATTTTATAATAATAACAACTGACTGCAGCAATAAATTATAGGCTCCACCTATCAAGACAGCGAAAACTGAATTACCATGGTGACATCATGGGCCCTCCAGGTGGCTTAGAGTGGACGGTGAGGACTTATGCTCTCGAGAGATTCCCATTCTTCCAGACATCAGTCGCAGAAATAGCTTGTGTGACGTGCTACAGCTTGCCTACATGGCTAGGTAGCTGCCGACAACGACTTACATTTCTCAAAATTCGGCTGCCCTTTGTGTATCATATTTTTGGCCTTTTTATGTTGAGGACTTGGTGAATTGATAGTGAGGCAAAAAAGAAAATCAGTTTGTGTGTTTTAAAAAACAGATCTCGGACACTGGTATGTTGCGATGACTGCTGACCATACCACTTCTGACATTGTCGATGCATCCTATTTCCCTCAAGGTGTTCAATAAACGGTTACCTTCTCCACTTTCATAATACTTGGCTGAAACAACGTGGTAAACTAAACACAGAAGGGCACCCCTCCCCCTCCATCTTCAAGGGCACACCACACAAAATATTATAGAGAAAATCAATTTGATACTTCATATTCTTGCGCCCGCCTCAACAAGAATTTCGCAAATGATTTTTATTATTTTTTAGCGCACGATATTTTTGTCGAGGCTATTTTTCTTTTCTTCGGTTGATTAAGACACATCAATAACAATTCAGAAGCAGGTACAGATACTACCTATTTATTGCTCTGTAACGACTATTTCAATTATTTAACCCTAAAACTAACCAAAGGGAACAACTGCGATGTCAGAAAAACATTAGTGATACGACTGGGCTGCATGTTGTGTCGTTTTTTCGTATAGATACTTGAACTGGCTCGCATGAAGCCTTCATAGGAGCTTTATTGCGTATTTTTTTTATCATGTGGTTACTATAATCTATTATTTCCAGAGAGTATACTTAAAGCCGAGGTTACAGGAAATTGCAAACAACTCATTAACAGCCCGAAGTTGTAGGAATGTACGTACGTTTAGAAAAGTGTTTCGTCATTATATTTGATTTTGAGGCAGAAAACCACGTTTCAATACTCATTTCCAAGTTTACGATGCATACATTTCTATGTTAGTTTTCTGGTTATTCGAACAATGATCGTACTTTTTAGTACAGTTTTGTTGCCTAGTTATATTCTCGTAGAAGAGTGCAAACAGTAGAATGAAGTGGGGCCACTTTAAGTTCACTGTATCATTACACATATGCTTTACATTGTAACAAGAACTTAACAATACCGCCATGCTATATGTAAATGTACCAATATCAGACCAATGAATGTCCCTGAACGCGAAGATGCCTTCGTACCAGACAAGCAAGAGGAATACGATCATTTAGCTGTCTGCTGCCCTGTTCTCATTCATTCAATACTGGGCCTTCGTTTTTATTTCATTTCTTTTGCTATTAGAGCACATTCACACTTGTTAAGCGAAAAGCAATAGAAAATGTGAAAATTGAAGAGCTGGAACCATAGTTAACGCGCACA